GTTATAATGAGGCACACTTATGACCGCCATTGTTCGTTTTATACCTCTTACCGTTAGTAACATGTACTACACATGTGTTGCAGCATGTAATTTGCTGACGTTATCACACTCTCAGATGTTTACTCACAGATGTCCAGTTTTATAATTTACTCTTTAAGGCACTGCTATATGGCAGGTTATGGTCTCATCTTCAATGAAATTGGTATCTTTTTTTTTTTAATGTATGTACTGTGGTGATGGTGGTGGTTATATGCCGTGGGGTCTGTTCCAACTCATAGCAACCCTGCATGGGGTTTCCAAGGCTGTAAATCTTTACAGGAGCAGAAAGCCTCATCTTTCTCCTGTGGAACAGCTGGTAGATTCGAAATATTGACCTTGCGGTTGGCAGCCCAGCTAATAATCCACTATGTTACTAGGGCGCCTTATGTATGTACAAGGAGGCTTTAAAAAGTTTGTGAGAAAATTCCATTATCTTTTTTTTCTCATTATATATTACATAATAGATATATACTTTTTTATTGTGAATTAAGTAACAGTTTACAGAGCATATCACCTGTTTTACATTCAGTGAATGATTCATTACAATGATTGCAATCCCCTCCAGGTTACCAACAGTTAAAACAGTATTTGCCTCCATTAACTTTAACTATTGAGCTCCTCCCTGTGGCTCCAGGTACCTTCATCTTTCTTCTGCTGACCTCCCTCTTGTTGTATATTGCCAGCCCTCTCTGGTAGCATAGTGGTTACAAATCAGGGGGCTGTGAACCACAAGGTTAGCAGTTTGAAACTACCAGCTGTTCCGTGGGAGAAAGATGAGGCTTTCTGCTCCCGTAAAATTTTACAGCCTCGGAAACCCTGTGCAGGGTCGCTATGAGTTGGAACCCACTCAACAGCACATAACCAACCAACCATCACCCATATTAACATGTGTCTATTCTTTAGTCCTGGACTCCTGGTGTGGTGCTGTAGGATAAGTACTGGACTATGAACCACAAGGTCATCAGTTCAAACCCACCAGTTGCTCCTCGGAAACCTTGCATAGGGTCTACTTTGAATCAGAACTGACTGACTGACTCAATGCCATTTAACAACAACAACAACAATCCTCTAGCCCATGAATAATTTTCCCTTACTCCTCCCCCAGTAACCATCAAAGATTGTTGTTTTTTTAATTAAGAAAACCTTAACTTTTTACAACATTGGTCTAATTAATACAATATTTGTCCTTTTGTGATTAATTTCACTCAGCATTATGTCCTCCAGATTCATCCATGTTATAAGGTGTTTTGCAGGTTCATTATCATTCTTCAGTGTTTTGTAGTATTCCATTGTGTGTATGTGCCAAAGTTTGTTTAACCATTCTTCTGTTGATGGGCATTTAGGCTGTCTCTATCTTTTTGATGTATATCTTATAGACAGTATATTGAAGGATCCTGTTTTCTATCTATTCAGCTCTGTCTCTTGACTGGTACATTTACTCCATTTACATTCAGTGTAATCAACTACATATATGAATTGTTTGCTGTCATTTGCTGTGTATTTGTGTGTGTGTGTGTGTGTGTGTGTGGTGCTGCTGATTTCTTTATTCCACATAATTTTCTGCACAGAGTTAATTTCATTTGTGGGTTTTCTTTTAATTTTCTTCATTTCTGTTGTTTCTACGTTTCTTCTTCTTTTTTAAAAATTTTGATGTGCAGTTGTATTAATTTTCTTTAAGATTACCTTGTAATTTATTAAATTTTTTCATATTTAAAACAGCCTGTTTTTTTCTTGAAATTTACTTGATTTCTTAGCCATTTGGAAGTTATGTAGCTACACTATTCCCTCCTTTTGCTTTGTAATAGACTTCATTATGCATTGATATCTCTGGGTCCCTATTTTCGGTCTTATAGGTTTGTTTTACTTTCAATACTTCTGTATCTGCTAGCATTGAGTTCTGGCTAGCATAGTCGTGTATGATAATCTCTGGTTGCTGTCTGCTGTTGTTGGTTCTCAGGCCAAAGATCCTTCGATATTTTTGTGAAGCCTTGGTACTTATACCTTTCCCTCTTGCTGGACTCTACCAAATCCATGCTGCATGATCAAGCCTCTCTCCTCCATAAAGCCTCCTTGACCACTCTCAACCACAGCAATCTCTCCCACCTCTAACCCCAGCACCTTTTGTCTCGACCACTCACTGTCACACACAGAAAATGGGTGTTATCAGCTCCATTGCAAATACAAGGACAGGCTTAACACAGTGCCTCATCCTTAGTAGCTGCACAATTAATTTACCAGCTCTGCTGACATCGCACCAGGGTGCGGGGGGATCTCTTATGGAAAACATGCCGTGTGTTTATTAGCTCATTTTGTTCATTTATCCACTCATTCATTCATCTTTTATTGGGCGGCTACTGTGTTTCAGGCAGTGGGAATTAGACAATGAACAAGGTAGAAATAGCCCCTGCCTTCACGGAGCTTCTGTTCATATAGGGGAGGTGGACTTTCAATCAAATAAAACATGAAGAAGAGTGATAAGGGTCATAACAAAAACAAGAACCTGAATTCAATGTATTTTATTTGCTCTCTTTGCAGTGGTGGCTACATAATTTGCCACACATAGAGGAAAATACTTAACAACAACAAAGACAGCAAAATAGGAACTATGATAGTATAATGGGTTACTCATTGGGCTCCTAGCCACAAGTTCAGCAGTTTGAATCCACCAGCCACCCCACAGGAGAACAATGAGGCTTTCTGTTCCTGTAAAGATTTACAACCTCAAAAACCCTATGCAGGGTCACTATGAATTGGAACCAACCTGATGGCACACAGTAGCAGCAGCCAGCAGCAGCAGTGCAAAATGAAAATGTGGGGCCCCTTGTTCAAAATTATTGAAGAATTTCTGTAGCAGCAGAGCATTCAACCAAGCTTTGTTGTTGTTAGGTACCATTGAGTCAGTGCCGACTCATAACGACCTTATGCACAGCAGATAATGACCTTATGCACAGCAGAATGATCCTGGGCCAACCTCATTATTATTGCCACGCTTGAACCCACTGATGTTGCTACTTTGCCAATCCATCTCGCTGGGGGTCTTCCTATTTTTCTCTGACCCTTCACCTTACCAAACTGATCCTTCCTGACAACATGTCCGAAGTATGAGAGACGAAGTTTGGCCATCTTGGCCTCCAAGGAGTACTCTGGCTGCACTTCTTCCAACACAGATCTGTTGGTTCTATGGGCAGCCCATGGCACTTTCAATATTCTCCTCCAACACCACAAATCAAAAGCATCAATTCTTCTATGGTCTTCCTTATTCACCATCCAGCTTTCACATGCATATGAAATTATTGAAAATACCATGGCTTGGGTCAGGCGCACCTTAGTTCTCAAGCTGACATCTCTGCTCTTCAACACTTTAAAAAGCCCTTCTGAGCACATGTCCGTAAAGCTGGTTCTCACAGTCCATCTTCAGTACTTAACAGGACAGACAATATCAGAAGGACTATCTCAATTTAGGAGCCCTCAAGGCATAGTAGTTAAAGCTCTTGGCTGCTAATCAAAAGGTCAGTGGTTCAAACACCCAAACTTGCAGATAGTACCCTTTTGACCTAGCCTCAATGGCTTAATAATCAGAACTCAACTAGAGAAAGATTACAGCAACAACAACAACAACAAAATGTTTTTGATAAAGGAAACAAGGGTATATTGCTACAATTTGATGAACCTGACCTATACTCATGGAGGTAATAACTCTAAATACCGACAGAGAGGGAAGGAGTCTTCACATCAAGTACAGTGGTGCTATCCCCTCTGGATGCAGGGTAGATAGAGACGGGTAACTTAGGCATTGGCTACCTTAAAGGAAGGGGCGATAAAGGCACGAAGTGACTGGCTTACAAGGTTTCAAGAGGGAGTTTAGTGGAGGAAGAAAGTGGGGTGGGGGGGAAGAAAGAGTGTGTGAGGGAAGAAAGAGTTCCCACTGAACAGTTTTCATCTTTTCTAAATGTTGTTGTGAAGTGCCGTCGAGTCAGTTCCAACCCATAGCGACCCTGTATAGGGTTTCCGAGGAGCAGCTGGTGAGCTTGAACTGCCAACCTTGCAGTTCAAACGGCTTTGCAGTCTGGCGCATTAACCCACAGCACCACACCAGAATGGGTCTGGTGAAAAAAGATGGGGATAAGATTCGTATGATTCAATAGTGAATAATTGTTATCATGAAATAATTGGGACTGTCACAATTGTAAAGGTAGAAGTTTTGTAACAGAAACAGGGGAGTGGTTAATCTTACAGTCCAGAGATGGAGGACCCTAGGACCATCAAAAGAAGAACGCACAAGCAGAATGAGGGACCTTATCCAGAGAAGCAGTGATACCACAGAGGCAGAAATGGGGACATGGAGAAGGGGAGAGGCTGAGGACTCTAGGTTCATGGGAAAAGAAGAGCTGGTTGCCAAGAGGCAGAGTTGCAGAATTTTTCTATTCCCTTTGGGGATGTAAATTATTATATATGCCTGAGTTTTGTTTTTTTTAAAGCTAAAGTGAATAGAGGTAAGTACTGTTAACTGATGGTACATGGAGGGGATTATAGTCATTGGGATGAAAAAAAAAAAAAACTTAACGTAAAAAAAAGATGGTCAAAAAAAAAGGTCAGTGGTTCAAACCCACCAGCTGCTCTGTGGAAGAAAGTTGTAGCAATCTGCTTCTTTAAAGATTCACAGCCTTGGAAACCCTATGGGGTAGTCCTGCTTTGTCCTACAGACTCACTGTGGGTTGAAACGGACTTGACTGTGATGAGTTTGGCTTTTTATCTCCATCTGACTCGAAATCTAGTGCAGCATATTTGCATGGGTCAGAAATGATCTCAGTGGCTGAGCTGATGGTAGAAAGGTTCACTTTGTGATCCACGGTGACTAGGATGTTTTGTATGAATAGATCCAACTTGAACACATAAAGTACCATTGATTATGCAGTGGGTGTATATGGGCTGCATCCTAAATCTCGTTTCCTGCCTTCCAGACTGTTTGTCTTATTCCGCTTTGCAAGTGTTATCCAGGAAATGCTATGGGAAACAGAGATGCAAAATAATTGTCAACAATCACCATTTCGGAAGCCCCTGTCTGCCAGGAGTGAAAAAATACCTCACGGTGACCTACGCATGTGGTAAGAGCACACTCTCCAACAGCTGCTTGAAGACCTCTTCAGGAGGTAGTAACCATGGGGGGCAGAGGGAGGACCAACATACCCACAGAGTTTGCAAGCAACGAGTCAAGCAATTCTACTCCTGAAACTGTCTTGTCATCTCAGACATTCAAGAGCCTTTTCTTTTAATCCTTCATTCTTGCTTCTGACGTTCTCATCAGATAAGCAATAAAATATTCTTCAGTCAAATTTTGTTTTAAAAGTGTTTTTAGCAATCAGATTGGCAGCAACTAGGGAGGTAAGAACAGAACAAGCAAGTAGAGGTAAAACTGATGCCACTGAGTGCAGTGATCTTAATCTGGGTTCTTAGGAGGCTCTGAAATGTATTGGTGTATGTCATGAGAGTTCACCAAAGTATTGCTTGGCTCCTGTTTAACCTCCCAGTACTGGTTTTAGGCCGTAAATGACTAACTCTTTATGCTGCCAACAGTTAGTTTATCTACATACCCACAGTGTTGAGTCAACAGATCAAATGCTTATCCTAAAATAATTTAAAAGGTTTCGCAAAGGTGTTGCTTTGTTTTTCTGATGTCTTTAAATAATAAAACGGATGCTTGGTTCTTTCAGATCCCAATTTCATGAAGCTTCTTAGAAACAAATGAGCAGTTCATTATTTTCTGACAGCCATGTGGAGTTCCAGTTTGGAATCATGCTATGTTGACTCTTCTAGAAATAAGCACAAAAACAAAGGCCACAGCAAATGAAGAACCTGATACCTGTGTTCTTGGAAGCCCCCTTCCCCCTGCCAGAAACCTCTGGCCTTTATTTGTTTATTTAGTGAATGCTTCATTGAGGTATACTTCACTTACCACACAAATCACCCATACAGTGGACAATTCAGTGATTCTTAGTATATTCAGATATGTAACTATCATTACGATCAATTTTAGAACTTTCACATCACCCCACAAAGGAAATGCTATATTTTTTCATTAACTACCTCCTGATCAACCATCCCTGTTCTCCAGCCCTGAGGCAATTACTTTTCAGTTTTCATGAAGTTGGTTACTCTGGATATTTTATATACACAGTCATGTAACAGGTGGTCTTTTATGACTGGCTTCTTTAGCTAAGCAATATTTTCAGAGCTCACCCATGTTGTAGCATGGGTCAGTATTTCAGTCTTCTCTCTAACTGAAGACTATTCCATTGCATCTCTGTCTTTTATAGCCTGAATTAAAACTTCAGTTTTCCGTAATATCAATGAAGTAACTACATAAAAACATTCCCACAATAATATCCCCCACACTTAAATGACAGGGAAGGTATGTTTTCTTTTGTTTGTATATTTGCTTTGTCTATTTCAGTCTTTATTCCTGTAACTGGCTAAGCAGCTCTGAATCATAGCTTTTAGCCCATTATAGCTGAGGTTACCCTAGAAGCCAACATTGATTTCCCTGCAGCTTCAGAAAGGCAGGTCTCTGCAGTTGATTGTTGAATTAGGAGCAGGGTTTTAGCCTGAGAGTGAGGAAATTTTTCTAGCCGTGTTCAAAACAGAAAAGAGCGCAGTTTCGAGGACAATGACTTTTCTTAGCTAGTCCTAAAAAGATGAATGTCAGGGTCTGGGGGTCCCATGGTTTGAACTTCTCTTCCCTCCCTCACTCATTCAGCACCTTGTGGACACATTCTATGTGTCAGGGGCTATACTGGGTGCTAAGGATTCAGTAGTGAACAAAAAGACATGGTCTTTTCTCTCATGAACTAATAGGTGAAAGAGACCAAGAGGCATTAAAGAAAGAATCAGATCAATCTATTGTTACCAATTGCAAACATGCTATTAAGGAAAAGGACAAATACTTTAGAGAGGGTAACAGTGAAGAAGGCCCTGATTTAGCTTGGGGACGGTGGCCTGAGAAGTCCTCTAAAGAGAGATTTCTTCGTGCATTTCATATGGGATGAATGGGTGTGCACAGGCAGAGAGCAGGCAGAGGGGCTCAGTAGGACAGAGGAATCGGGTGGGCGAAGAGGAAGATAGCATGAGGTGGCCCTGGAGAGGGCCCAGGGCTAGATCCTGAAGGGTCTGGGAAGAGGGTGCCAATGGGGGGGGGTCTCAAGTAAAGATTCAGATCTGATCCTTTAAATACAGCATGGAGAATGGAGTAGAGCAAGAGTAGAAGCAGGAAGACTGGTTAAAAGCTAACAGGTTTCTCTTACAATTTTATTTATTAGTATTAAAAAGAAGAAGGCACCAAATAGTCCTGGTGTGCCGCTGTAGGTTAAGCACTAGACCGCAAAGTCGTTTTTAACTACAGGGTCAGTGATTCAAGCTCACCAGCAGCTCCTCAGAAACCCTATTCAAGTGTCGCTATGAGTCAGAATCGACTCAACAGCATTTAACAACAACAGGCTAACACAGTGCTAAAAGAAGTGGTAAAAATTGGGTGGGTTTGAGAAGGATGTGGAAAGTAGAAACGCAGAGATTCTGAAGAGACATGGAGTAGTGGAGATAGTCTGGTTGAAGATCAGGGGCCAGGACTGAATGGGAATGGATGAAGGCAGGATTTGGAGTTCTAGCCCATGGCCTCTACTTTCTCAAAAAAAATCAAAAAGTCTGAAATGAGTTTATCAGTGGTAGGATGCAGGGAGAGAGGCTTGAAGAGATGAGAGTAGTTAGTATTTTAGTATTGTGGAGGGCAGTGGGGCAGGCTGACTAGAGAAACTCAGGAATGTTGTTGTTGTTGTTAAGTGCTGTCGAGTTGGTTCCGATCCATAGCGACCCTGTGTAGGGTTTCCAAGGAGCAGCTGGTGCAGGACTCTGCAGTAACATTACTGGGTGATAATTGTAAATTGGATTTTTGTCATCATATTAATTAGATCATATCCGAGTAGGATGGATTCTAAATCAAATCACTTCAGAGTTATAAAAAGAGCAGATTAGACATGGAGATTCATGTAAGTATACAGGCTGGGGCAGAAGGGAGAGAGCAGGTGTCATGTGGGAATAATCTACAAACCAAGGAACCAAGGAGCCACCCTGGGCCACTGAGCTGGAAGAAATGGGTACATCTGAGACCCTCATTTCTACTAAAATTTTAGCGTTTGTCTGTTCTTCAAGGCCACCACTTGTTGTATTTCTGTTACAGCCACACCAAACAACTCAGACTTGTGTTCTATGCAGGCAGCATTGTCTTTTGAGTGCCTGGTATTCTACGAAGCACATCCTAGAATGTCCTTCCTCGCTGAGCTCCTCCTCTGTAAAATCCTGTTTCATTCCTGAACTGTAAAGCTTCTCGCATTCACAGAGAGCCAAGGGCCTTCTTGGACCATGTTTTGAGAACAAGCCAAGAGACAGACGTGAGAAAGAAGTGCCACTCCTGTCAGGGAAAGAGGATGCTCCCCAGACCTACAACTGCCAAGAAATCAAGGGCATTCTCCAGAGTTCAGAAATGATGGAGAGGCGATTTCATTACAGAACATTTTGTGGTATTGCCTTGGTCCCAGGATCAGCTGTGTGCTCACGGTCAGCCAAAGGGCATTCCTCAGAGCCCTGGACAATTTCAGCTGCTCTGGCATCTTCACTGTACTGCCCTAGAAAGTGACTTCATGGGCTTCTGATGGGCATGAAGGTTTCAGGGCTTCTTGTATGTGGAAAATTATCAACTCAGGAATGTTCTCTGATTGTTGATCCTGGGACAGCCTCAAAGGAATTTAGTGGTAAACTCCGAAAACAGACATGAGGTCTTCTTGTCTGAAAATGTCTTACCAGCTCTTTTATGAAAAATCAATTGACCGTGAAAGTGCTGTTGAAGTAAGAGTTCGTGTTGGCTTCAGTTGCAGTTACCACATCTACCAAATAAGAGTAGGCTGCAGTACAAACAAAACACTAAGCATCTCTCTGCAGCAAAAATAGTGGGCTTCCCCTCCTTTCTCATAGTTTGTTACAATGTAATTGGCCTTCAGATTCTTACCTGACCCTCCCTTTTATCTGGTCCTCTCATCTGCAGTATGTTCTGCCTGGCAGATCCCAAGATCAGGGTAGTTTATTCTGAGTCAGCTCAGCAAAACCTCTAACCATATGCTAAAAGATCCTATCACGATTCAGCCTATGAATCCGCCTCCTTCTGTAGTATTTTTAAATAATACTTAGAAAGTCAATCTAGCAGGGAATCTTTAGAATTTGCTTTAGGCTTCTTCTAGAAGCAGGATGCAAAGAGTTCTGGGTACACATCAGAAGAGAAGCTGGGGGCATGTTGTATGGTAAATTTTGAGTTAATTGAAGTCATCTTGATTTACTGTCTCTCAGAGAAGTTCATGCTTGGAGTTAACAGTTTAATTGAAGTATTCTTTGTATTCCTTCAAGTTTACCCTTTTTAAGTGAGTGAAATGATTTTTAGTATATTTATAGAGCACCATCACCACCTTCCAATTTAAAAACATTTCCATAATCCCCCCCCCCAAAAAAAAAAAAAAAATTCCCCTGTGCCCATTGGCAATCACTTCCTAGTTCTACTGCCAGGCCCTGGCAAATAATAGTCTAATTTCTGTCTCCATAGATTTACTTTATTGGCACATTTCATATAAATGGAATGATATAGTATCTTTTGTGTGTAGCTTCTTTCACTGATGTTTTTGAGATTCATCCATGTTGTAGCATTTATCAGTACTTAGATGCTTTTTTATAGCCAAATTGCATTCCATTGGCTAGATTTGTCAGTTTGTTTATCCATTCGCCTTGTTTTTGTTTTAAGTTTTTATTGTGAACTGAGTGATTATTTACATGGGAGAACATCGGTTTTATACCCATTGTTTCATTGCAATGATTACAGTTTTCTCAGTGCACCATCATTCAACAGTATTTGCTTCTATTCCCTCTGTCTTTTATGTGTGTTTTGTTTTTTCCATGTACACAAAAACACTTAATAATATATAATCATTTAAACAACCAAAGGGCACATTCTGCAAGCCTGCCTCCTGGCCACCAGCACACAGTCTTTCTCTTTCCATGCATCTAGAGTCCTCAGCTGCTCCCTCTCTCCATGTCCCCATCTCTGCCTCCATCTCTGGTGTCGCTGCTTCTCTGAATAGGGTCCTACATTCCCCTCATGCTCTTCTCCCTTGATGGTCGTAGGGTCCTCTGTTTCTGAACTGTAAGATTAACTTCTCTCTCGTTTTTGGTACAAAATTTCTACCTTTACAATTGCGACAGTCACAATTAGTCATGATAACTATTACTCACTGTTGAATCATAAGAATCTTATTCCCATCTCTTTTCACCAGACCCATATAGACAAGATGAAAACTGTTCAGTGGGGATTCTACCTTCCCACACACACCCTGAAACTAAACTCCCTCTTGAAAACTTGTCAGCCAGTCATTTCATGCCTTTATAACCCTCCCATTTTAGGTAGCCAATGTCTAAGTTGCCTGTCCCTATCAACCCTGTATACAATAGGGGTAGGTTTGATACACGATGTGAAGATTCCTTCCTGCTCAGTTGGTATTTTGATCTCCTTGTTATTTTTTAACACTGCAAAATGGGCCTAAAGTTTCACCTTTCTGGAACCTTTGATGATCACACAAGTACCATTTGTGATGTGTGTGGTTGTTTCAGTGTATCTTACAGTGTATCATGTGCTACCTTGAAGTGATTTTTTAAATCGTATCTATATCTATCTGTGTATCTATATATATTTTATTAAAATATGTATATTAGCTGTTATACTTTTTTAAATATACAAAGTATTTTAAATATTTTATTTTTTGTTTTTAGTTCCCAAAAACATCCTCACAGTGATTGATCCAGCTGTTGCAAATCTGGAACCTTCTTTGAAGAAGAAAGATCGTGACTATGGTAATTTTTATGGTTTAGTCCCAGCATATCTTTTTGGTAAAGGTAAACAGCTCCCATGTGACCATAGTTGGGCACACTTTGCTTAGAATAAAAGGGAATGTCAGGAACTGTGGTTGAGCTCATATAATAAAAGTAATAAAAAATTCTCACCATTCACAGTTCAGTATCTTAAATACTCTTATGGGTCTTTGCAGTGTCTATCAGGGACTCCACAGGTATGAATTCCATTCTGGATTTGTTAATGGAAAAAAAAAAAAATGTTCATAACCCTTTTAAAGAAAGACAAGGAAAAACCTAAGGAAGAAGATGGCCTGTGGAAACAGGCAAACAGGTCCAGCATGGGCCCGGTCTACCTACACTTTTGTCAATGGGGACATCTCTTGTTCAAAGTTATATTTCTTTTAGAAAATAAGAGGTGATGGAAAGGAGGTTTCTTCTACTTGTGATTTTAAAGCAAAATAAGATCTAGGCCACCATTTGTATTTTTTATTATGCCTTCCCCCCCTAAATATAAAAGTAAAGAATGTTTGATATGGAAAACACCACAAAGAATAAAGATATACAAATCACATGAATCCCACTGTTTAGGGAGAATTATTGGCAGTGTTCTTACTTACTTTCCATCAAGCTCTGCATCTCAGCCCTTCTTTTTCTAATAGGGCTCCCACTTCACCCTGGGCAATATCCTGGTTTCCCCCTAGAGGGGAGGCCAGAGAACTTGGTGCATTAGAGTTCAGAGGCCCCCAGTGCCCTACCACTACCCTTTCATGAGCTCACCAAGCTCTATGGAAACAGAGGCCCCAAGCACCTGAAGCCAGAGTTGCCCTTCTTTTGCTGTCATTTCCAAAAAGATAAACCAATACAACCTCTCTCAATGTTTGTAATTTGATGTTTATCTTGTTTGTGGTCAACAGTACAGATACTAGTTAAATGCTGCTAAAAGTGAGAGAGGTTATTAAGTACCTCTAGAGTAGTAGCTCTGGTAGTGTAGTGGTTACGAGTTGGGCTGCCAACCTCAAGGTCAGCAGTTCGAAACTACCAGCTGTTCCGTGGGAGAAAGATGAGGCTTTCTGTTCCCATAAAGATTTAC